CAAGCTCCTCCTTGACAAATGACAAGAATCCTCTTGGAGGGCATGTCGTGTCAGAGAAGCTGACAAAGACAAGCTATGCATCATGGAAAGCCCAAGTGCGCGCTGCTGTGAGGGGTGCACAGCTTCGGGGGTTCCTCACGGGCGATGCCAAGGCTCCTGCTCAACAAATTATCATCAAGGAAGATGGCAAAGAGGAGAAGAGGCCCAATCCTGAGTTCATGCGATGGGACGCCCATGACCAACAGGTGCTTAGTTTCATTTTGTCGAACCTCTCTCCTGCCATCCTATCCTAGGTCAACGCCAGCGAAACAGCAAGCGAGGCCTGGAGGATCATCAAAGGGATTTTTGCGTCGCAGTCCCGGGCGAGGGCTGTGAACGTGCGCATGGCACTCTCATCCACCAAGAAAGGCAGCATGACTGCCACAAAGTACTTCACCAAGATGAAGAACCTCGGTGATGAGATGGCTGCTGCAGGACGGCCACTCAAAGACGATGAGATTATTGAGTACATCCTCGCCGGGCTAGATGAAGATTTCACCCCGTTCATCTCTTCCCTATTAACTAGGGTTGAGCCGTTATCACTTGATGATCTATTCTCGCAGCTCCTTGCATTCGAGACCCATCTCGAACTCATCCATGGTGGACGGCAGAACCACGGCGGCTCAGTAAATTACTCGGGCCGTGGGCGTGGCGGCTCACGTGGTCGCTCTTCAAGTCGAGGGCGCGGCCGTGGGAAAGCCAGAGGAGATGGCAGCTCGGGCTTCAATCAGAACAGCCGTCAAGGCGGCAACGGTGGCCGTGGTGGTGGCTACAACCGTGGGAACAGCGGCGGCTACAATCAGCACGGCTCGTACAACTACAACGATGACAAGCCGCTCTGCCAAGTGTGCTTCAAACTGAACCACACTGCTGCAGAATGTTGGCATCGGTTTGAGGAAGACTTCGTCCCCGATAAACGCCTAGTTGCTGCTGCCAATCGTAGATCAGGCGCTGACTCTCCGTGGTACATAGACACGGGCGCTTCTGATCATGTCACCGGGAAGCTTGAGAAGCTGCACATCCGCGACAAGTACTACAGTACAGATCAAATCCACACGGCAAGTGGTTCAGGTATGAGCATTAGTCATATTGGGTATGCTACTGTTCACACCCCTAGTAATTGAGATATTCATCTACGAAATATTCTTTATGTTCCAGAAGCAGACAAAAATTTCATATCAGTTCATCGTCTTGCTACTGATAATAATGCTTTTCTTGAGTTTCACCCAAACTATTTTTTGGTAAAGGATCAGGACACGAAGAAGGTCATTCTTGAAGGGAAGTGTCACAATGGCCTTTACCCCTTTCCCACATCATCCAATAAAGAAGTCCATGTAGCTACCAGAGTTTCCTTTGATCGGTGGCATAATCGTTTGGGTCATCCTTCGTCAGTTATAGTCAAGCAAGTTATCAGTAGAAATAAACTCCCTTGTTTAGGTGAGGCATCTAGCACTTCAGTTTGTGATGCCTGTCAGCAGGCAAAGAGTCATCAACTTCCCTACTCCAGATCCAACAGCAAATCCAAATTTCCTTTAGAACTTATTTTCTCCGATGTCTGGGGTCCAGCTGTTGAATCTGTAGGGAGATATTGCTACTATGTAAGTTTTATTGATGATTTTAGTAAGTTTACTTGGGTCTATCTTATCAAGCACAAGTCTGAAGTGTTGCGTAAATTTCAAGATTTTCAGGCTATGGTAGAACAACAATTTAATAGAAGCATCCTCACTGTCCAAAGTGACTGGGGAGGAGAATATGAGAGGCTTAGTTCGTTCTTCACTAAAATTGGCATTGTTCATCACATCTCCTGTCCACATACACACCAACAAAATGGTGATGCGGAACGAAAACATCGACACATAGTTGAAGTTGGTCTCTCACTTCTTGCACATGCATCCATGCCTTTGAAATATTGGGATGAGGCGTTTATTGCTGCTGTTCATCTTATCAATCGTATACCTAGCCGTGTCATTCAATTCAGCACTCCCCTTGAGCGTCTATTTAACGAGAAACCTGATTATGCATCAATGCGCACGTTTGGGTGTGCATGTTGGCCTCACCTAAGACCCTATAATAATAGCAAACTCCAATTCCGATCCAAGCAATGTGTTTACCTTGGATTCAGCACACATCACAAAGGGTTTAAGTGCCTAGATGTAGCTTCAGGACGCATCTATATTTCCCGAGATGTGATCTTTGATGAGACGGTATATCCATTCTCCGATCTTAATCCTAACGCTGGTGCTCGGTTGCGTGCTGATGTAATACAGCTTCCTCCAAAAGTTTGGGTCCCTAGTACTTTCTTTAGGGGTGAATCAGTGGCTAACCCAAATACTAATGACTCATCTAACCACAATGTTGAGCCATGTGTGCAGCAGGAAGAAATTTCGGTTGAAAATGGTGCAGGAAATGGATCAGGAGAGCCCATGTACGCAGCAAACAATGATTACTTGGCAGGTGTGGAGCACGCGGATGGGGCAGCCAGCACTCAACAGGAGCCTGATACGCAGCCGGGATCCGGCGCGCTCCAACCCGGCATCGAAACGCGCTCGCACCTAGGGCGCCCTGCTGCGATAGTGAGGGACACGGTTCCTGCCGCCGCTGCCGTACCTGCGCCACATCCAGGTTTGGGATCTCCTGCGCAGCTTGGAGGCACTGAAGGCACCACTTCTGAACATCCTACGCCTATGCCAAGAACAAGATTGCAATATGGCGTTCGCCATCCTAAAATTTACACTGATGGAACTGTCAGGTATGGACTTTTCTCCAGTTCTGGTGAGCCAAACAACTTAGATGATGCGCTGGCCAATCATAATTGGAAACAAGCCATGCAAGTAGAATATGATGCTCTCATGAAAAATAAAACTTGGCATTTGGTTCCTCCACAAAAAGGTATGAACATAATTGGATGTAAGTGGGTTTACAAAATTAAAAGAAAGGCAGATGGCAGTCTGGATAGATACAAGGCGAGACTGGTAGCAAAAGGCTTTAAACAACAATATGGTATTGATTATGAAGATACATTTAGTCCTGTGGTAAAAGCAGTAACAATAAGGATTGTCTTGTCTCTTGCTGTTTCTCGTGGCTGGAGTTTGAGGCAGCTTGATGTACAAAATGCCTTCTTACATGGTTATCTTGATGAAGAAGTCTATATGCAGCAGCCTCCAGGTTTTGAGGACAAGACCAAACCACAATATGTTTGTAGGTTGGACAAGGCCCTTTATGGACTTAAGCAGGCCCCTCGTGCTTGGTACTCTCGCCTTAGTGCAAAGCTGATCAAGCTAGGATTTCAGGCATCTAAGGCAGACACCTCACTGTTCTTTTATAGCAAAGGTGATGTTACCATATTTATTCTAGTATATGTGGATGATATTATTGTGGCTAGTTCTACAGAGAAGGCCACCGCTGCCTTGTTGCAAGATCTGAAGGAGGAGTTTGCACTTAAGGATTTAGGGGAACTTCATTATTTTCTAGGCATTGAGGTAAACAAGGTACATGATGGTATTATCTTAACTCAAGAAAAATATGCTACGGACTTGCTTAAAAGAGTAAATATGGCTGAATGTAAATCAGTAGCTACACCTATGTCATCAAGTGAAAAATTATCATTATATGAGGGTACTCCCCTAGGTCCAAAAGATGCAACAAACTATAGAAGTGTGGTAGGTGCTTTACAGTATCTTACTCTTACTAGACCTGACATAGCATTTGCTGTGAATAAAGTCTGTCAGTTTCTACATTCTCCCACCATTGTTCACTGGGAAGCAGTGAAGAGAATCCTGAGGTATATCAAGCAATGCACTCGATTAGGTCTGAGTATACATAAGTCCAGATCAACATTAGTAAGTGCATTTTCAGATGCTGACTGGGCTGGAAATATAGATGACAGGCGTTCCACAGGTGGGTTTGCAGTTTTCTTGGGATCAAATCTAGTATCATGGAGTGCAAGGAAGCAACCCACTGTCTCAAGGTCTAGTACAGAGTCTGAGTATAAAGCAATTGCCAATGCTACAGCAGAAGTTATGTGGATTCAGGTTTTATTGTATGAACTCAAGGTTGACTGCCCAAGAGCAGCAAAACTCTGGTGTGATAATGTTGGTGCTATATATTTATCAGCTAATCCAGTGTTTCATGCAAGGACCAAACACATTGAAGTGGACTATCATTTTGTGAGAGAACGAGTCACAAGAAAACTTCTTGATATAGATTTTGTCTCTTCAGGTGATCAAGTTGCAGATGGCTTTACCAAACCACTGCCTGTTCGGTCTCTTGAACAATTCAAATGCAATCTCAACCTATCGCGGTTGTGATTGAGGGAGGATGTTAGTGAATATGGTCTAGAATGTTCAGTTGTCGTAATCTCCTTTGCATGCGCAACTAACCTGGACTTGTTCACGGTGGTGGAGATAGAGTTTAGGAGTTTGTTGTAACAGAACAAATCTTCACCACCGGCTCTCCAGATAGTTCGATGCATGCACCCCTATGTAAAAGCCACGGCCAGGGCTGTTCTGGCCATTGTGATTAACACGTAAAACGTCAACCCAAGTTTGGGCTCTGACGGTTCCACCTTCAAGCCCTCTGATTATTTCTCATTGACAACAACGGGAAGAATGTACTATATAGTTAATTATAACATTTGGAGCTTATAAGTAACACATAACTCAGATGGACACATATACTCATTGAATGTAACTTGTACAAGCAAAACTAACGTGCCTGTGTATATAGATTTATGTGATTTACAGAAGATTAGTGTCAGAAGCACAATTAAACACACCAACGACGACACTTAGCACACATCCCTGAAACAGACCGATCGACTGAGGAAACAAAAATTTCGTGGAGAAATCAAGGGCAACCAGAAACACCACGAGACCATGCAATCTCCACGGCTCATCACTCATCAGCGCGCTGTTGTGTCCGTCCATCAAACGTTATGATCACCGACGGGATCGTCCATGTCCTCATCCGTGGGTGTCTTTACCAGAGCTCCGGTGTCCCCAACCGCGGGCAGCTCCGGCCTCTGCATCCTCTCCGGCATGGTCTCCATCCCCATGTAGGACAGGAGGAGCCAGACGTAGGAGAGGTACTCGCCGCCTTTGCCCAGGCTCTTGGCATGCAGGTACCCGCGGGCCGCGGCAGCGGCCGGCGGAGAAGCAGAGCATCTCCACCCACAAGCCCTGGATCACCGCCCACATCTTGTCATCCGCGTGCTCCTTGCCTCGAATCATTAGCATGAGGTCTTTGAGCTTCTCCTCCTTTCCCACCTGCTCGATGACCTCCTCAGCCGTCTTGGTGAACTCCTTGACCGCGACCACCGTCTTCTCCTCTTCCTGGACGAACTCTGCCATCTTCTTGGCAGATTCCAAGAGGTCCGTGATCTTCTCTTCCTCCTTCGTTCGCTTCTTTTTTCTCTCGTCGCTGATGAACTTCTCTGCCTCGCTGATGAAGTTCTCTGCCTCGCTGATGAAGTTCTCTGCCTCGCTGATGAACACCGCCGCCATCTCCTTGAAAGTCTTCTTGCCGCCCTCCGTGAGTTGGTCTGCCTTGTTGTTGTTATCGACGTCGATGATGAGTTGGTCTGCCTTCTCCCTGGCAGAACGCACGACCGCCCTTAAGTTCTTCCACTTCTGGATGAAGTCCTGTTTCTTGTCCTCAGCAAATTCCATGAGCTCGTGGGCGACCGCCCAGGCCTTGTGAACAAGATCTTCCGAGCTGAGACCGAGACCGATGGTGGGCTTCACTTTCTGGATCACCTTCCGCACCATCTCGTTCCTGGCCCTTGGTGGAGGTGCTTTCTTCTCCGTCGGCTCTACCTCTGCCGTTTCCTCATCCTCTGGCGGCAGCTTGAGCATTTTACTGAGCTCGTGGTAGGTTGCCCTGAAGAGCCTGCACCTTGCACCAGGGATCAGCATCTCCGGCTTCACGAACAGCAGGTACGCCATGTAGTTGGACACCATCCTGCTGTGGCGGGTGGCGTCGTTGCCGGTGTCCACGTGGTCGAAGTAGCAGAACTCCGTGGAGAGGTGCCAGACGAGGACGCTGTCGTCGAAGGGCATCCGGAGGCTCTCCTCGATGGCCCTCCGGCCGCGGCATCCCTCCCTGTCCAGAGTCCGCTGGCCGCGGATGTCGTTGAACTGCCGGTAGGCTCCCACACTGGCAGTTGGAGTAGGCTTCAATATGTAATCCTTCCACCCGCCGGCGACGTGGTCGTAGACGAGCCTGGTGACGCCGAGGGACGGCTCGGGCAGCTGTTGCTTGGTTTGCTTGGACCCTGGCCCCCAGCAGGTGGGCGAGCCCCCAGAACCATGGGTGCTTCTCGTTGCGGGCGAGGTAGCCGACGAGGTTGTACTGGGCGAGCTGGTCGATCGTCGGGCGGCGGCAGGCCCGACGCCAGGACCAGGCACGCCGAGACGAACTCCAGCGCGGCGGTGCAGCCGAGCAGGACGTAGGTCGACGACGTCGGCGCGGTCGTACACGCCGCGGTGGCTCCTCTGGAACAGGCCGATGACCACGAACGTCACCAGCGCGATGGCGGCGCGCAGCAGGCCGCCGAAGCTCGCCTTGTGCTTGGTGTAGAGGCGGTCGAACGCCTTGGACAGGGACGAGCGCACCAGGCCGTGCACGTCGGCTCTCGCGTTGCGCGGCGCTACAAGCTGCAGGTTCCGCAGCCGGATGGAGTAGGGGTGGCCGAGGTCCACGAAGAGGTGGTACGGCTGGTCGGCCACCTCGTCATCGAAGAGCTCCCCAGGCTGGGGCCCCGGGTTGGAGACGGTCTCGGCTGAGGCCTGCACGTACTCCTCCTGCGAGTAGATGTCCTTCTGCTTCTGCGGCCTGTCGTCTCCGTCGAGGGTTGCTTCCAGCCGTGAGTCGGAGGAGTTCATGATGCTCGCCACCGTCGCGTTCTTGAGGGCCCATGGCTTCTCCAGGCACTTGAGGATGCCGGGGACGAAGAGCAGGATCGCTGCTCGCAGCAGTATCATATCACCTTACCACCATGACTACTTGTGGAAAACGTAGATGGCGACGGTGATCTGGCACATGCATAGGCAAATGTGAGTCCTAAGCAGTGTTCCACAAGGCACTATTGGGCGTTTGCCTATGCATGCTTAAGCGCTAGGCGGAGGGGCATCGCCTGGCCTAAGGGTGTAGGCGGAGGATAGGCGACATGTTTGCAGATCCCTAGCGGCACTGCGTGAGGGAGTGACGGCCGGTGGCGGCAGAGGCGGCGAGCGCGGCCGGGAGGAGACTAGTGGTGGGTGCGGCCAGGTAGGGACTTTAGGTGGTGGCAAAGGAGGCGGGGATGTTGCGCGGCGGTGGCGGAGAAGTGGGGACAATGGGCTAGGCGGACGAGACAGGGACCTAGGGCGGCGAGAAGCGCGGAGGAGGCAGGGATGGGGGCAACGGGCGGCGCATCCAGTTGCAACTTGGAGTCGTGCAGCCACGCTGGGAGCAGCAAATGGATAAGGTGAGAGATGAGGTGAGGTTAGGGATCATCCGATCAGGCTTGCTGATCAGATTTGAGCTTGTGCTGCTTTTATGGGTCTTCCTAATATAACTCTTGGCCTACTGAGGTCTTGTTTCTTCTTTTCTTTTAGACTTTTAGAGATAAATATGCATGGATATGAAACGCCTAGGCATGCCTAGGCTTGCCTATGCTCTAGGCAAGGGTCACCGTATAGAGAATGCCTAGTGCCTTTTGTAACCGGTCATAACTCATATATATACTTCGGCCTTATCTAACTAAAATATTATTAGCCTGTTTTCTATTTTTATAATAATATAGCGTGCATGTAGCTTGAGATTCAAAATTAATATTTGGTCAACACTTATATTCTAAAATATTTATACTGTAATTGCATATCAAGATTCAAATTTTACTATATTTGACTAAGAATTTAGTCAACAATTTTCAACTATTGTAATACAAACTTAATACAATTAGATATTTAGATTTGTAATCAAATTTAATATCAAATAATCATAAGCAATATAATACAAAGTAATGAATGGTCAAAATGTAGTTTGGGAGACCATGGCATGCCAAATTATATCTTACTAACAAACGTGCCCGTGCGTTGCAACGGAAACAAATAAATCCTTACGCGTCAGAATTGTATTAAAAATAAGAAAAAATTATTTATTGTGTACATATAGTTGTACAGTCTGTTTACTGAATTTACGACTTCCATGTAAAATGACCTAACACAATAGCACTATGTATTGTATGCTTTGAATTTTACATGAAGTAAAACAGGTTCGTGTAACAAAATTTCACAGCTGACATTTGATCGAGTAGGCTTTTCTCATGTGATACAACTTTTCATATGCTAGAAAATTAACATATAGTACATTATTACTTTGTTACTTCAATATCACCAACGAAACATGGTTCAAAAACTTATAAATTATTTATCAAAGTATTATTTGATTTTATATTCATGAGATGATCAGCTGACATGTGCGTCATATATTCACAGTTTTGCCATATATTCCCAGTCACCATTAACACTTAGGCCTCGTTCGTTTCTCACGGAACGGCCCGGAACGAGACCCAATCCATCTGGTTCAGAACGACCTGAAACAAAAACCCGGCCAACAAAGATTGCCGTTCGGTTAAGCTTGGCCTGGAATAGAATCCGACCAGTCTTGGACATTCTATGTGATCTACGGCCAGGTTTGCTTCCTCGTCTCTTGACATCCGGAACCAAATCACCTGGATCTCACTTGATCCCCTCCTAGGACCATTCCTGCTGCAGTTTCATTCCCAAGAAAACGAACAAGGCCTTAGAGATTTATAGTTGATCACCTGTTTTCATTTAATTCCGTTGCAAAAAGTAAGTCAAAGTGAGCCGCAAAGTACCAGGTTTAGATTGTATATCACAATTGAGGTCGACGTAGGCCGACGCTCCATCCACGAAGCATTGATGCTAACATTGCACCACCATACTATCCAATGTAAATCTGAGTACACAGAGATACTTTTGGTTTAAATGACATGGTTCAACAAAAAGATACATTTAGCTCCGTTCCAGCGCATCAGCTGCAGTTTGCAATATGCTCCAGCAGGAGCCCTCGGTTTTACAATCTTAGATCATCTCCACCAAATCTCTCATTGTATCTTCTATTAAGAGAGTATCCTAAAATCAATATATGATAAATAACACGTACACTTAGAATTAGTCGATCCTTAATCTTCATGTTCATTCTTTGAAAACCGAAACGAAAATACCATCAAATAGAGGCATGAAAACCATGATTGCCCATCAGTCATCATCATTGTGACCTGACTAAAGTAATGCCGCTGCAAAACATGTGTTAGTCACAATGATTTTTGTCATCGTTAATAGCAAAAAAAACCAAATTAGGGGCCAAATGCTTTCGAAGTTCTCACAATTTAAAACTCGAAATTTTCAAACGATCTCGAATGGAAAAATGACCAAAACCAAAGTTATAGATCTCGATGAGAACTACAACTTTATAGTTGATGACTTTTTCATTTGAAATCGTTTGTGGTGCTAAAATTATGTTTTAAGTTCTCACAATTTGAAATTCAAATTTGTGAAACGACCTCCGATGGCGAAACAAGCAAAACCAAAGTTGTAGATCTCGATAAGAACTACAACCTTATAGTTAATGACTTCCATTTGAATTTGTTTAAGGTCTTAAATATTCATTTCAAAATCCTACGAGGAAAATGTATATGCACTTTAAGCACCAGTCACTTTGGGTGGGAGTGGTTAAGGGAGCTATGTATGAGGGTACAAGTCTCATGTTCAAATAACACCTCTTCGGATTAGAAATCTTTTGGTCTGGTTTTGGAATTTTTTGGGAACTCTAGTTTTGGAATTTCTCGAAACTCCATCGCCACTGGTTCGAACCAACGTTCTTATCATCAATGAATTTCACTAAAAAACTCTAGTTTTGGAATTTCTCGAAACTCCATTACCACTGCTTCGAACCAACAGTGATAACCTTTCTTATCATCAATGAATTTCACTAAATCACTACCGAGGGGCCAAACCTGGCGGTGACGATGGGTTTGGAACCTTTGGTGATGGGTAACCAGTAGTAGTATAGTGGACTATTCTTAGTAAAAAGCAGCTACGAGTTTTATGCTTTAGAGAGTGAAGTGAAGGGACACACAGATAGTGAGAGAGGGTACCATGGACGATGAAAAAATTAAGAGAAAATTTTACTCTTTAATATTAGTATAGATATAGTAGATATAAATTTACAGACTTACAGGGGAGGGGTGTAAGTTACAAATTATATGATAACTTGTCCTTTTGCCCAGTCCTAATCAATTGCTTATTGCCGGCAGGCAGAATATGATCTGCTAGTATATAATTGTCAGGATTGGGCACATGGACAGAACAAATGATGATACAACACTGACCTGGTATTACGTATACTTTATTTGTACCTCTGTATAACACCTATGGCCTTTTTCTACTACTTTTTAGGAGCTCAGGTGAGATCTGCGATCTCTGCGTTACGAGACAAAACTAACGTTGGACAACAGGGTGGCTGCTGCCCAAATCAACATGGCATCAAACAAACTGTTACATCTTACAAGAAGAAACCCATGTGTGAGTTACAGGATCTTGTGTAGCACCTGGTTTTAAGAACAAAACCAGATACATACCATATATGAGTCCAGGAAGTCAAATCTCACATATATCTACAAATAAGTGTAATATCAATAGACAATACTTAATATATAGCATACTTAGTATAAAAAATATAACCTTAGATAGCACACAGCGGAAGGACAACCCCGATCTTCGGGTGAAGACTCTAATTCACAGGGACAACTGACTGGTTGATCATAAGCCTAACTCCTCCAGACTAGCAATCTGGTACCCATCCGGAATTTTTATCCAAATAATTGAAAAATAAAGCAAGCGTGAGTACATATCGTACTTAACAAATATAACATGGGGTTCATGAGGCTCAAAAGGCTGACACTGGTTTAACTGCGATTATCTTTTAATGAGTCATGATTTTATCAATTGAGTGGCAACAAGTTTATCCTCAAGCTCATATAAACACATGATCAGGTAAACATGAATAATGAATAGCATAAATAATTAACCATTAATGAGCATCTTTATCATCAGTATCATTAGTGTTCATCATCTATGCCGTAAATGTTCCAAGGCCGCTTGTGACCGTGAACACGGCTGATATACTAGTTTTACACTCTGCAGAGGTTGTACACTTTCACTATGAGTCGTGATTTACCCTTTCGCCCGAGGTGATCAGCCTCTTGACCCACTACCAAGGAATGTCGGCAGAGTTCACTATGAAGCCTTTCAAAGGTTCGTCTAACAAGTTAGGGCCGCTAAATTCACTCGGCAAACAGATATAGGAACCCCCTGTCGAATGGCACAATTCCATCACGGCTATACACATAAGAGTAGAGGCTGTCCTATACCTGATTCGTCAAGCCATTCTTATGCCAATAAAGATAACCTCAAACAAGCTAGAAAAGGTCCTCATACTGAGCTAAAGCCATAGCTATATAACCCTCACAGTTGTACTGTAAGTCCCGGATGATCACTTACAAATAAGTCCTTAAGAAAAGGAATCTAGAGCACCATAAAACAGCCCAATGCTCTAGCCCCCTGGTTCCATGTTGCTAAAAAGCATCTTTTAGTGTTTATTGCATATGGTTGTAGTTAAGCACTAGCATCATAGTACCAAATTGAATAACCCAAAGGTATCAAGGTACAGGATAACAAAGTACTAGAAAATCCTTAGTGACAGTTAAGATAGACACATGCAGTATGAATTAAATAATTAAAGGTGTATAGGACAACAAGAAAGATCATATGCTATACTTGCTTTAAACTTAGATCCTTCTTCAAGTCCAAAACTTCAAAGATCTGCTTCTTGATTCACCACGTATACCTCACCGACTGGACGTAATCATAAAGCACCACACAAGCATCAATGCAATCATACACGAAGCAAATAA